TTGGACTGGGGCCCCAAAGCTGAGCACCTCAGAGGACTCAGGAAGATTGAAGTCAATACCCAGGAGCTCTCTGAGGACTCCCGGCCCACAGCTGGTGAGAGGAGGCAATGATCTTCCCCTAGATCCAGCAGAGAGAGAAAGCCTTCCCCCAGAGTTGCCACTCTGGATTTGGTCTTTTAGCCTCTTAAACTGTGAAAAAACAAATTTGCTTGTTAACACCATCAACTTGTGGTATTTCTTTTCTTTTTCACTTTTATTGTAAGCTATATTGACCCCCGAGCCCTAAGTTTGGCTTCTTCCATTTCTTCTGGGCCATCTTTTTTGGCTTCTTCCATTTCTTCTGGGCCATCTGTGCAACCTCCTCTTCTTCAGGTTTAGGAATAATATGTTCCTTTTCAGTCAGGGTCATTTCCATGTGGCAGGGATCGCTCATGCAGGGACTGAGCCCACCAGGAGCTCTGCACGTCTGGTGGCACTCCCCCTGGATGTGCTCAATGGCCAGAGAATCCACATCTAACTCTGTAAATTCAGCATTACTTCCTGCATTTTTAAGCATGTGCAGCAACAATTCAGGACTCTTTTGGGGTCATTAACCCTGGGTCCAACTCCACTGTTTGGTCTGTGCACACCTACCAACTCTGCCCTGTTCCACCTTCAGGAGGGCATGCACTGCTTCTGTAAAGTGACAAATAGTTGGTGGCTCTCAGGCTACGCCTAGCTTTGATGACCTAGGCAGTTTCATGAGCTTTCTGAAAAAGTACCTGAAGATCTGACACCCACACCCCCCTTGGTTTGCATGATTTTGTGGGATTTCCTGGATTCAGTGAGTATGAAGCCATTTGGGCCCATCCCCTCAGGCCACTAAGGAGGAGGAAGAGCTGTGGGTCCTGGGAGAATTCTGATTACTAAATCTCTCCCAACTTGTGACACTCTGTTGCAGCAGCCCATGATAGCTGAGACTGCAGAACCCACCACCGAGCCCCTGGATGAACTTGCCAGGTTATTTAACGTTCGAAGTCCCAATTTCCTTATGTGTGACATGACTATGGGTGGCTCAGTGGTAGAATTCTTGCCTTCCATGTGGGAGACTTTGGTGTGATTCCCACTCGATGTTGCTCATGCTTAGCTACTATCCATCCATCCGTCAGTAGAGCCTTAAGTGTTGCTATGATGCTGCCTAAGTTTCAGTGGAGTTTCCAGATTAGGGAAGACTAGGAAAAATGTCCTGGTCATTTATTTCTCAAATCAGCCAGTGAAAACCCTATTGATCTGAATGGTCCAATCTATAACCGATTGTGGGATGGTACAGGACTGGGACAGCATTTTTAACTTGTGTGTGGAATCGCTGTGAGTTGACGGCCTGCTTGGTGACAGCGAACAACAAAATGAGGAGAGTACTACTGTCCCCGGGAGGCCTGGTCGTGTAGTGGTTATGTATTGGGCTGCTAATTGCAAGGTCAGCGATTCGAAACCAACAGCCTCTCCACGGGGGCTAGAAAAGGCTTTCTACTCCTGTGAAGAGTTACAGTCCCGGAGACCCACAGGGGCAGTTCTACCCTGTCCTAGAGGGTTTCTATGAGTCAGCATCGACTCGATGACAGTGTTGCTTTGGACTATTATCCCAAAGGAAAAAACCACTGCTGTCAATTTTGACTCATAAGGACTTTACAGGCAGAATTGCCTCATACGGTTTCCCAGGCTGTAATCTTTAGGACAGCAGACTGCATACCTTTATCTTGTGGTGTGGTTGGTAAGTTTGAATTGCTGAGCTTTCGATTAGCCCAGCTCTTAACCACTCTGCCACCAGTAAAAACCAAGCCAAATTCACTGCCATCAAAGCGACACTACAGGACAGGGTAAAACTGCCCCTGTGGGTTTCTGAGGCTGTAACTCTTTACCAGGGCTCCCTTAAATCTTCAGTGCCCACGAAAATACACACTTGATCTCTCTAATGCAGCGAATACAGCTGGCCAACGGACCTGCCCCAGCCAGTGAACTCTGAAATCTATCCCCGGATATTTATCCCCCAGTTGGTGCAGCGTCCCAGACCGGCTCCTAGTCTAGGCTTGGATTCAGCAGAGATGTTAGGGCAGGCCTATTTCTGGGAGCCCTGGGGTTCCAGGGATAGGCTAGTTTGGTTCCAGGCATCCTTCCCCCACAGCCTTGCTGAACTTTCTTAGAGCTGCACTGCAGTATATGATGTGGCTTTCTACCTAACCTTCCTTCCTTGTCTCTATCCTTCACAAGCATCACACCTTCGCGCTAGGCCCTGCTTCCTGTCTATTGTTCCCTCCCAAGCACGACCACAACTCACAAGACTATCACAAAACACCCCAACCAAACCCATTGTCATCGAGTCAATTCTGACTCATAGAGATGCTATAGGGGATTTCCAAGGCTGTATATCTTTATGGGATCAGACAGCTTCATCTATCTCCCACCAAGCCGTTGGTGGGTTTGCACTGCTGACCTTGTGGTTAGCAAACCAATGCCTAAGCCACGATGACATCAGGGCTCTCCCTCAGGACTATTATCAGAAACCCACTGCCAACAAATACCTGAAGTTTTCTGATTCATAGTGAAGCTAGACAGGGTTTCCAAGGCTGTAAATCTTTATGGGCCAGATAGCCTCATCTTTCTCCCAAAGAGCAGCTGGTAGGTTTGAACCACTGACATTGTGGTTAGCTTAAGTGTCATTCTCGAAAAAACTCACTGCCATCAAGTCCATTCCGATCCAATTCCCCCTTATATCAACCCTATAGGGGAGAGTAGACATACCCCTGTGGATTTTCAAGACTAAATCTTTACAGAAGAAGAAAGCCTCATCTTCCTCCCTCATAGTAGTTGGTGGTTTAGAACTGCTGACCTTTCTGTTAGCAGTCCAATGAGTAACCAACGATGCCACCAGGGTTCCTTGGGGTATCAAATACATGGGTGTGTGAGAAGCATTTAGTCAAGGCTTGACATATAGTTGGCACTCATCTAACCATTCAATCAATATTCAGAGTCCCTACGTGGGCAGGCTTTGGAGCGGATACCTGAGACATAGTGATGAGGTATGCAGACAAGCATGACACCGTGTAGTTATTTTAAAGCATCTTGTCGATCCCCACTGCTCAGAGATAAAGGCTCAACTTTTCCAACAGGACACAGAGCCCTTCAAAGTCTCACACCTTAGGGTCACTTCCTGCTTTACATTCTGCACACCTGAGCCCACAGATAAAAGAAACTTCCCTTTCTCCTCTAGCTTTGCTTTCTCAAACCCAATATCATTTCTCTCCTTTCCTTTCTCCTTGAAATGCCTCTTCCCTCCTCGGCACAAGCCTGATCAACTCTTAAACATACCCAAGACCTACCTCAGCTTGTCACCCTTTGTCACCCCAAAGTAGCTACTAACCTAAAGGTTGCTCATTTGAACTCACCTGGAGAAAAGCGGGTTCCTATTCCAGTAGAGAATTACAGTCTCGGACATTGGGCCTCTACTCAAGTCCTCCCTCAACGCAAGAACACTTTGTTCTAATAATCTGGCATTCTGTGGTGCTCACCTGACCAACACGATTGCTGAAGTTAATATGAGTGCATAAGCTAGTGTGCTGAAGAAAGCTGATGGTGCCCAGCTATTAGAAGACATAGCATCAGGGGTCTTAAAAGCTTGAAGTTAAACAAGCAGCCATCTAGCAAGGAAGCAACAAATCCCATGTGGAAGAAGCACACAGCCTGTGTGATTATGAGGTGTCGATGGGATCAGGTATCAGTTATCAGAAGACCCAAAACAATCATATCTATGAACAAGGTGGGTCGGAGTTGAGCCCCAAAGTCCATCTGTGGCTTTGGACATCCCCTCACAGAAGGGTCCCAAAGAAGGGATGAGCCAGCCAGGGTGCAGTTAGCACCGACAAAACACACATTTTCCAGTTCTTTAATGCTTCCTCCCCACCACTATCATGACCCCGGTTCATAATTTATCAAGGGGTCGCAAGGTGGGGAGGGTGTGGGAGGAAGGGAAAAAGGAGGAACCCGGATACCAAGGGCTCAAGTAGAAAGAAAATGTTTTGAAAATGATGATGGCAACATAGGTACAAATGTGCTTGATATAACTGATGTATGGATTGTGATAAGAGCTGTTTGAATCCCCAGTAAGATGATTTATTTAAAAAAAAAAAAAGGGAATTACAGTCTCAGAGATTCCTGGTGAGTCCAGGCTGGATGGCAGTGCAGTTTTGAGGAACCCTTGGTGGGATAAAAGCCTGACCCTGTGCCACGGGGAAGTTCACAGAGAAAGCGCCAAGAGCCAGTCCAGGTAGCCCAGGCAGCACGTGCTGGCTGGGAACCTGGTCAAAGCACCGGTTACGTCGTCGTTGTACGTATTTACCACCCTGTGCCCGCTAAGTGGTGACCTCCCCTACGGCAGGGGCCGGGTCACAC